GCAGTCGCAGTAGCAGTCGCAGTAGCAGTAGCAGTCGCAGTGGCAGTGCCAGTCGCAGTGGCAGTGCCAGTCGCAGTCGCACTAGCATTAGCAGTAGCTGCAGCAGCTGCTGCAGCAACAGGAGGAGTAGTAGTAGTAGCAGCAGCAGCAATAGCGGTCGATAGGGCTTAAGATGAGGAGTTGTTTCTGACGAGCCGAAGGAAGGTGCTCCAGATCAAGATGATGTTGATGCTGGAGAGGCTGCCAACCACGGACCGACAGTGTTGATGCTACCGATGCTGGCATGGGGAATGGTGAGGATGAGGTTGATGATGTGGAAATGCTGAAAATTACGAGGGTGACGATCCCTGTCATGATCAAAAAAACATGATGACACGATGGCGTTAAGAATGTCAGCAGAGACGATGATGTTCTTGATGGTGATGCTGATGGTGGTGATGATGATGCTGATGCTGATGATGATGACGACGATGATGATGCTGATGATGATGATGATGATGATGATGATGATGAGGATCGTGATGCTGATGGTGATGCTGATGGTGATGCTGATGCGGAAAAAGATGATGATGAAGATGATGATGATGATGATGATGATGATGATGATGATGAAGATGATGATGATGATGAAGATGATGAAGATGATGATGACTGTGAGGATGAGGATGATGTCCATGATGATGACGAGGATGAGTCGATGATTGTGAGGATGAGGATGATGGCGATGATGATGACGACGATGAGGATGATTGTGAGGATGAGGATGATGGCGATGATGATGACGACGATGATGATGATGATGGATAGGTTGTCAAAACGAAAGCAGGTTAAGAAGCAGTGACTGTGGCAACGAAAAGACTTGATGCCAAATCAGCGGAACAATCGTAAAAGAAATCCTGCAAAGCTATCACAATAACAACGACAAAGACAAAACCAGTACCAATAACCATCTGAAACTCTGCGTGCGCTCAGTGCCCCACCTGTCCCAGCGATGCCAAGTACTGCTGGTACTCCTGATGTTGGATTGAGCTGTCGTTGCGGACCTGCGCCTAGGTTTGGAACATACCAGTATGAGCCTGCCCATCCCCACACAGTCATGAATCATTTTCCGGTCGTGGGCAACTGTGCCTCATCAAAGAGCTGAAACGTTAGCCCTCCAATTTGCAGTGGGAGCCTCAGGCACTGACCAGGCCTCATAAAGACCAATACCCCTGTATGAAGGAATACACCTGAAGTCAGAATAGAAGGCTTGAAATTATTTTGTTAGAGTTCAACATATGTTTTCTAAGTAAAAGGTTGTGCAGCTCTTTGGGATCTTACCCGGCAATCCGGAAGCTCCTCCTGTGACATCACGCGTCGGTTGGTTGCCGTCACAGTGCCCTGGCTGGCGCCGGCCTGCGAGAAGAAGGTCACCCAACCATCTCTGCAGATTCAAATCCTGACAATCTCTTAACCCAAAGCCCCTAAATTAAAGGAAACTACAGTTGGGGAGTTTCGGGTATATAGGGCTTCTATAAGGCTTCCATAAGGTATACAGACCTTCTACAAGGCTTCTATAACGGCAACTACCCACCTGAAAATGCCCTAGACTAATCCGCAAAGCAAAAAAATAGTCCCTACTTGGTTTAGGGTTTAGGGTTTAGGGTTTAGGGCTCATAAGGTTTAGGG